AAAGAACCCAGGGCTGATCCCAAAGGCAGCGATGAACCAGAAACCCAATGTTAGTGCTCTCACATTGCCTGGGGCACAGTCCCCCCCATCTTGGAGAAGAGGCAAAGGCCCTGGGCCTCCCTGTGGCTCCTTAAGCACCAGCGCTCTGTGACACGCGCCCCTTCCCTACCACACTGCTCCTTCTGGACACAGACCTGGTCCTGCCCATCCTGGGCCAGACCCTCCCCGTGCCCCTGTGTGTAGGTGAGGGGCAGGGGCAGGTGGTGTGGCAAAAGGAAGAGCCATGACCCTGATCTCTAGCCACAGACTCTCTCTCCACTAACAGCTCTTAAACTGTTTTCGTTCTGTTCCGCACAGACACATGTTCTTTAAAGAGCAATTAGAAAGTACACCTAAGCAGTGATGAAAATTGTGCCTAATTCTGCAGTTCGGATATAGGCACTTTCTTGGCCAGGATCCTCAGAAGCAAATCCTGAGACAAGAGTTGCTATGAAGGTGATAAGGAGAAAGGATCCCCAGGAGAATTTGCCAAAAGGGGCATGGGACCAGGAAGGAAGGGCCGCCCTGTGGGAACTTTGGCTCAGTCCCACAGAGAGCTCTGGAGAGAATCACTCCAAGGACCCAATCAGGGCTGAGGAAGCCAGTGTTTATACTCCACGCCCATCAGCCACTGGCTAAGGACCGCCCCTGGTGTGTGTGTTGGGGGGGGTGGGGTGGACAGAATTCCCAGGCACTTCTGGCTCTCTGGGTGTTGGTGTTCAGCAGCCTGGGTGGGCTGGGGTTAGTCCCCCAAAGAGAGCCACGGTTCCTGGCCGCAGACAGCAAGAACATTCAGAGAAGGTGCCTGAGCATCCACAGGGGTCTGAGCACCAGCGTCCTCTGCTGATGTTTGAATGGGGTCACTTTCAACTTTTTAAGTACTTTTGCAAGGCCTGGCTGGTTTTGTCTTCATAACAACCCTAGAAATGGCTCAGAGCATGAATCATGACGCCGATACGTTACTGTGTCATAGCTGAGAAACTTGACGGCCACAAAGAGTCACGGGTTCCCACAGGGTTAGTGGCGGAACCAAGAGAACGATAAAATGATGTTTGAGCACCTGCCCCATGCCCGGCACCGTGCAAGGTCGGGGGACATGGTGACCAACCAGATAGCCCCAGGCCTTCCATAGAGAGCTCACCGCTGGCCCGGGAGAGCAGCGGCCACACATGCAGGCCCAGGTGGGCCCAGCCCTGGACTTCTCGGGTCTCCACCCAACCTTGACCTTCCACCCCCGGTCTGGCTCCTACAGGTGATAGTGTATGTGGAGGATGTCAATGACGAGGCCCCCGTGTTCACACAGCAGCAGTACAGCCGCCTGGGGCTTCGAGAGACCGCGGGTATCGGCACATCGGTCATCGTCGTCCGAGCCACAGATCGAGACACTGGTGAGGCCGGCTGGGGAAACAGGGGAGTCCGGCTCCCTAGAGTGACCCCCTCCAGCTCATCCCTCCTGCTCCTGTGGAGCCTGTCTTCCTTGGGATGGCTCGGGCTCCCCCATCCAGCAGCTCCCAAGCTGGGGAGGGGCTTCGGGGACAGTCCTGGTAGCATCCCCACCAGATGCACAGGCCTAGAAGGACTGAAGTCAGGGAGTTGTTCCAGTCTCCAGATGGAGAGAGGGTAGGTCCCAAGCTTGGAAAGTCTAGGTTTCTCACTGGGGGACCCGCAGCTCCTGGCTAGCCTTTGGCCGGGGGCCGGGCAGTGCTGGGGGAGGTAAAGGACTTGTCACACAGCTGGCTGAAGCCTGCTGCTCCAGCCAGAAGCGGCTCCGTGTCCTACAGGCCTAGCTCAGGGCCTGACACACACTTGCTCCACAAAGGGCAGGGTTCTGCAATGCTCTGAAGGCAGTCGAGACCTCGCCAAGGACCCTGAGCGCCAGAGAGGGCCCCAGGTGGCAGTGCACAACAAAGGAGAATGGGGCCAGGTCACTGTGGCCCTCTTCATGGGGCCCAGCTATGTGGGCCACTACCCCCAGCCAGGGATGCAGCCAGAGTGGGACCCTTTCCTAGGGGTCCACTGCCCCCCTGGAGAGGCTCCCTGAGCTGCTCCCAGCTTCCCAGCCCCCCAGCGTCACCTCATGTCAGCCCCTCTCCGCACCCTCAGCCCCGCTGGGGCACAGGATGGGGTGGCGGGAGCAATAGGCCTGAAAACTCTCAGGTCGGTTGCCATTCCTTATATGGCACTTTCGTACGAGTCAGATCCCACACGTCACCGTTGCCCACTGCTTCGTGGCCTTTTCTGGGTCAGGAATCCTTTTGAGAAATTAGTGAGAGCTGTGCATCCCTCCCTAGAAAAATCCCAGAAAGATGTATATCCATCCCGAGCTTTGCAAATGCTTTCAAGGAAGTCTGAGATTTCCTGAGTGGTTTTATGGCCATTCCCTTCAATGCCTGTGGACTTCAGCTGAGGAATCCCAACTCGAACTCCTGTTGAAGAGCACGCTGAGGCCAAGGGTTTGAAGTGGAGGAGTGGGGGGTGGGGGGGGGGGGGGGTGGGGAGGTATCCCTGTTACTAGAACCCTTTGGCTGGAGGGGCCACAGGGAGTGTCGGTCACTTCTGAGGATGCTGCCCCTGTCTGACACTTTGTAGATGAAAGTTCCCCCGACAAGAGATCCCTAATGTCCAAATACCCAAGGGAGATACCTGAACTTGAATTTGGAGGCTCCAGAAGCAGAACCAAATCCCACCAGTGCCTCTCTCATGCCAAAGCCAAGCCCGAGAGGGGTTGTGTGTGCTGGGCCTTGCTGTCCACACAGACCTTGACCCCGTCCTCTGCCGCTGCTCCTGGGACAACCCAGCCCACAGGGGTGGGGGACAGTGCACACCGGGCAGGCCGGCCAAGGCCCCTCACCCTGTGTCCCTCAGAGTCAGCAGCAGGTGTGCTGGCGGCACCTTGGGAAGCCCCAGGGCAGCCCCACACCGGTCTGGGACAGCACAACCTCTTGGGTGTTCCCACAGGGGACGGTGGCCTGGTGAATTACCGCATTCTGTCCGGCGCGGAGGGGAAGTTTGAGATTGACGAGAGCACGGGGCTTATCATCACCGTGGATTACCTGGACTATGAGACCAAAACCAGCTACCTGATGAACGTGTCTGCCACCGACCAGGCACCCCCCTTCAACCAGGGCTTCTGCAGCGTCTACATCACTCTGCTCAACGAGCTGGACGAGGCTGTGCAGTTCTCCAATGCCTCCTACGAGGCTGCCATCTTGGAGAACCTGGCCCTGGGCACCGAGATTGTGCGGGTCCAGGCCTACTCCATTGACAACCTCAATCAGATCACCTACCGCTTCGACGCCTATACCAGCACCCAGGCCAAAGCCCTCTTCAAGATAGATTCCATCACGGTGAGGGAGACTGGGAGCAGACACAGCAAGGGCTCTAAGGGGCAGGAAGCTCAATCCTTTTACAGCTAACCAACATTTATTGAGCTCCTTCAATATGCATGGCACTCTCCTCTTCGTCATAAAGTGTCTTTGAGATAAATATCCCTAGGAAACATTCCTCTCCATATTCAGGGTTAAGGTAAAGTTTATATGTAGGCAACCCGGTAACCTTCTTGTTACCAGACAGCGACAGCTAGGTAAGTCATCACATTTCTCTTTTTACCTTGGCTGTTAGGAAGCTCAGATATAAAGTGCTTCATCACAGTAGCTAGTCTTAGCTCGGTAGCAGCCAGTCTCTCATCTACCGTCTGGATCTTACTCTTCCATCTTTGCTTTAACGTGTCTTTTCTCGGCCTCCCCTCTTTGAAAATAGGCAAGCGTAGGGGCGCCAGGGTGGCCCAGTTGGTTGAGCGACCGACTTCGGCTCAGGTCATGATCTCGTAGTTTGTGAGTTCGAGCCCCACGTCAGGCTCTGTGCTGACGGCTCGGAGCCTGGAGCCTGCTTCGGATTCTGTGTCTCCCCCTCTCTCTGCCCCTCCCCTGCTCATGCTCTCTCTCTCTCTCTCAATAATAAATAAACATTAAAAAAAAATTTTAAAATAGGCAAGTGCACAGTGTACAGGCCTTATCCTAGGGAATACTGGGTTCACAAAGATGAACAAGCATTCCCAGCCTTCAAAGAGTCCTGAGACTGAGAGGAGAAGCAGGCGTAATCAAGGGTGCACATCAGGGCACCGCAAGGGAAGATGTAAAGAGAACTACAACGCGGGTGTGATGTTGCTGCCTGAGGCCCAAGCGAGAGGGATCTTACCTGGCTGGGGAAGCCGGCAGAGGTGGCATCTGAGTGAGATCTGAGAAAGAAGTAGGGTTTGGGCCGACAGAGCTTTACGGGGAGGTTCTGCCGGGCAGAGGGAGCGACAAGGAAGTGGGGAAGTAGGCAGAAGGTTTGGGAGTAGCGAGGACTCTGGTTTGGGGAGCGCGGGGCTGCTTGGGGGCGGGGTGGCCTCCGCCCGGTGGGTAGGACGTTGTCACTCGCCCGTCTGGCCCCCTCCCCACAGGGTGTGATCACAGTCAAGGGCCTGGTGGACCGGGAAAAAGGCGACTTCTACACCCTGACGGTGGTGGCAGATGACGGCGGCCCCAAGGCGGACTCTACCGTGGTGAGTGGGTCCCCGGGTGAGAGCCCCACAGGTATAGCTCACTGCCCCCAAGGCACCCCAAAGCCTGCATCTTCACCAGCCACCCCACGCACGGGCCAGGCCACAAATGGGTGAGGCTTTTGACCGCTGTGGCCAGTCGTGCCACACCTCCCCGGGTGGCCCAGAGACCACAGACAGAGAGCCGGAGGGAGGGGTGCGGTGCGGGGGGCGTTGGCGGGTGCTGGGAGCGCTGCAGACTGCTAACTGTTCGCACCCTTGCCTCTTCTCTCCCGTGGCTTCCCGCCGGGCCTGCCTACAGAAGGTGAGTGGCCTGTGGACCGGGGCTCCCCCCTGTGTGTTGGCTGTGGCCGTTGTCGGTTCGGTCCCCATGTAGCCCTGCACTTTCCTGCTTCCGCTGGAGACAGGCACAGGGACAGGCCTGCAGCAGGTTCCTGCCCAGCCCTCTCGGGCCCAGCCCTTCTCGGGCACATTCCCCATCTCCGGCTCTGCCCTTCCCACCAGCCCACGGGGCCCGGGGCGGGGACCCTAGCTCGCCGTAGGTGGAACACACGATGGAAGGAACGCTGAGGCTTCGCCCCAGCTCTGCTCCTCACTGGCTGGGTGACACGGGCAAGTCGCTCCACTTCTCTGTGCTTCCCCTCCTTGGGTCTAAAATGAGGATGGTGCCAGCAGCCCTGACGCTGGCGGGCGGTGACGGATAAGAAGCCCTTTGTAAACTAGACCCCAAGACCCAAGGAGCATATCATGGGAGTGGCATCGGTAAAGAGGAACCTCGCCCTCTCTCGGGGGTTGGGGGAAGGAGCGCATTCTATTACTGTGCACGTGAGGTGGGACACACAGTGCCAGGGCCTGAGGGGTCCTAGACAAGGGCAGCCATGGTCACAGGGTGAGTCACTGCCCTCGAGGACTCGAAGGGCTTGAGGGCAGAGACCACATGCTCAGAGCGTTTTGAGGAGCATGACTGCCGAGGTCACAGGTGTCAGGCAAGGTTCCTAGGAGGGTGGGAGAGGCAGGCAAGGGACCTCAGGCTGGGAGGCTCGGGCTGAAATGCCCCGGGGTGGCATCCTGCAGTGACGATGAGAACATTGACAATTGATTCGGCTTGGGTCCCAGCCAGTCCGGGCAGGCCGTCTGTAGGTCACATGGGGCAGCCAGCTCAGCAGCAGTCTTGGTTACGACCACATTTTCACTCCCCACCCAGTCCCTATCACATTAGCCTAGAGGGATAGAAATCAACCTATTGTCCAGGCTAAGAGCCAAACGCGCTTGCTTGGGGTTCTCTGCGCCACTGCCCCCTGCAGGTACTCAGTTCCAATGGCCCTGGCGGGGGCTTGAGGGTACCCCAAAGCCCCCGCCATCCACGGGGCCAGCCTAGGGGTAGTGAGGCCATGAGCAGCCGGGAGCCACATAGCTCCCCTTGGCCCACTAGGAGTCCCAGAGGGCAGCCGGTGAGCAGAACCCTCAGTGGGGGACACTAGGCAGGTGCCCTGTGTCCCGTACCTCCCAGCTCAGGCTCCTGGCGACCCCAGCCAGAGTTGCTGAGACTCGGGTTCCATGGGGCCCTCTCACTGGGCCTTGGCAGCCTCATCTGCAGCTTGGGCCCATTTGCAGCTCACCCATCGTAGTGTGGGGAGTCTGGGAGCCGAGGCCAGGTGGAGCCTGAGAAGCAGCAGGATGGTTAGGACCCTCCCCACCAAGGCTGCGGAAGCCCTTCTTCCTCTGCATGGGCTGGGCTGGCAAGGGCATTTCAGAACGTGCACTTCTGTGCAGGCCCCTGGATTTCCAGTCACTTCACCCTCTTCTAGGAAGCAGGACCTATGGCCTTTTGCTTCTGCCCTGGCTTCCTCTCAGGCTCCAGGGGCCACTGTGCCAGATACACCTGCCCTGTCGGCCCAAGCACTGTCGGAGGTGCTAGGGTGGAGGCAGGCTGAGGGGCCTTTTAAAGGTGACACCATTTCCTCTGCAAGGCCGGAACCCCCAAACCACAGCTCACCTACACCTGACTCCTCCCTGACCCCAGCAGCCCCCGTGGGCCCTGGGAGGGGCGGGGAGGCAGCAGGAAGGGACAGACTGGGGCAGGCTCTTGAGTAACACCATCAGGCCTTTGGGACCAGGGGAAGAAGATATAGATCGTGAGGCCCTGGGCAGGAACACAGACCCAGATCTAATGCTGTAAACCTTGGCCCCTGCCCTCTGTTCTCACCCACTGAGGCTGACTCCCCATGCTGGGAGCACCTCACAAAGGACACCCCAGTGGTGATCCTAGAGGAAGCACTTACTGTGTGCCAGGCTGTGGGCTGGGCTCAGGGTACAACAGGAAACCAAGATCAGACACAGCCTCTGTCTTCACAAACATAAGATACAGTGGGAGAGGAGAGGAATATTGATTAAGTTATCACACCAGTAGGGGCACTCGCGTGACTCCGTCGGTTGAGCCTCTAACTTCAGCTCAGGTCATGATCTCACGGTTCTCAAGTTCGAGCCCCGCGTCGGACTCTGCTGTTAGCGTGGAGCCCGCTTTGGATCCTCTGTCCCCCCTCTCTCTCTGCCCCTTCCTCCCTCCCTCCCCCCCCAAAAAAATAAACAAACGTTAATAAATCAATAATCACACCAATAAACGTATGCTACAGGAAAATGTGTAATAAGATGCCAAGGAAATTGAGGAGGGCTTCCTTGAGGAAATGACTCAAGCTGAGATCCACAGAAAGCATAGACAGACATTTACCCAGCCAAGAAGGAAGAGTGTGAAGGCAGAGGGAATAGCATATGCAAAGGCCCTATGGTGGAAGGGAGCACAGGAAGCCTAAAGCAGGCCTTGACCCCGGCCAGAGAGTTTGGGAGGAATCAGGGCACAGAAGCCTTGTCTGGTTCTGCCCTGACAGCATGGTGGGCATTATTGTACCCATTTCACAGGTGAGCAGACTGGGGCTCTGGGACTTCACAGAACTCCCTAACCAAAATCATGACGGATGGGCAAAGCCTTGGCTCGTGAGATCACGTGTGTCTGCCAGGCAGGGCACGGGACGGGGACCACCTTGTCCCACCCCTCGACTTCTTGTTCGCTCCTCCATTCCCCAAAGCCTCCCGGTGCTGTATGTGTTTTTGTTCCTACTTTCAGTTGAAGAAATGGAAGGTCAGAGAGGTTGAATAATTTTTTCCAAAGCCACACAGCCAGTAAATGGTGGAGTTGGTGCTGTCACTAAGCCTGGGCTTGTTGCCTGGCGGCTGTGACAGCTGCCTAAAGGTACGGAGGCGTGGCTAGGATGGAAAGAAGGAAGACCTGATGGGCAGGGAGGATGCGGTGATCTCCTCTGTGGGAGCGGGGGCCTGTATACACTGGGGGTAGGCAGGCAGGCCTGGGAGCCCCTTAACCCCAGGCCCGGGGAAGGAGAGGATGAGGTCTGGCCTGGAGCGGGGCAGTGGGAGGAAGCCTGGCCTGGGATCCCTAAAACCTGAGCCTCCTCCCGCCCTACCTGAACCCTCGCGTCGGTGAACCTAAGGAGCGGTGTGTCCGTCCGTCCGAGAGCTAGGAGCTGCAGACACAAAACAGCATGCTCTTTGTCTGCAATTTGCACGTTCCCAGTTTTCATCTGACAGTTGGAAATTCCTCTCCTGTCCCCACTGGGGCCCCCAAGCTACCTCACGGCCCCCTCCTGTGCCTAAGCCCTATTTCCTTCCCCCTGACCCAGATGCACAAGAGAAGAGGCCTTCGGGCAGTCTCTGGCGGCCAGATGTGTTTTGGCCAGCCTGCACATAAGTGTTTCCTTTAGTTTTTATTAATCACCACCGAATTCCTCATAAAAATGTGGGTTCCTAGTTCCTCTTGAAAAACAGGAAGCCCTACCAACGCCAAGCTGGCACTCCTCATGGATTTTTTTCCTGAGTAGCCTCTGCCCCCTTCAGCCAAGGCCCACGCCTTCTAGCTCTGAGTCCCCCACACCCTTCCTTGCTGTCCTGGCCCCAGCACAGCGGTACGTACAACCCTCTCCCATCATACCGCTGGGAAAAATGTGCCCGAGATCCCCGTGGAAAGTCCAGACTGGCCCAGGCAGGCTCTCAGCGCTACCTGCCATTTCGGAATCATCAGAGGTCTGGTCCCCACCGGACCCACGGTGGGAGCCTGGCGTTTGGAACCGGGAAGGGGAAGGAGGGGCTAGGTCTCTGGCTACCTTCCCCACAGGTCTACATCACGGTGCTGGACGAGAATGACAACAGTCCCCGGTTTGACTTCACCTCCGACTCAGCAGTCAGCGTGCCTGAGGACTGCCCCGTGGGCCAGCGTGTGGCCACCGTCAAGGCCCGGGACCCCGACGCTGGCAGCAATGGGCAGGTGGGCGCCACGTAAAATACCAGGATCTTGCCTGCCAGTAGGAGGCTTCTGCAGCCTCTCAGCTCGAGGAGAGTCATTCAGGTTCCGCCCAGCCCCGGGCAGCGCTGCCCTGCCCTCAACCCGAGTCCACGGTCAAGGAAAGGAGGCAGCGCTGTGCAGGCTGTTGGCCCTGCCCGGATCCGGTGAACACAGAGCCCGAAGGCCGGCCACAGCTCAGCCCTCCACGGCAGGCTAAAAGCACAAGGGTTTATCTCTCCCGGTGACTCCTGCCTCCCCTTATCCACACCCGTGTGCCAGGCCCCAGACCAGCCCTCCCAGTGTGGCCCCAGGTCTCAGAGAGGACGTGCCCCCTCCTCCCTCCTGCTTTGGCCGGGTGGGGCGTGGGGTTCCGTCCCACAGCAGGAAATGCCCCCTCCACACGCACTCTAGCTCCGGCCACCCCAGAGCACAAGGAGGAGGGGCGATAGAGCATATCAGTCGTTCCGTGGCTTTAATCTGCCCTGTCAATTGGGTGGTACGTTTGGGGAGCTTCCCGCCGTTTACAAATGGCTTGCACACCTCTGCGGGGCTGGCTTTGGGGTCAGAAGCGCAGGCGTTCGAATCTTCGCTCTCTTGGGCGTTTGCGAGCCGTGTGATCGTGGCCAGCCGTTCTGTGTTTCTGAGCCTCCTGGCTGCAACCTGAAGAACATCTCCCTCTGACCGTTGTTGTGAGGGCCAGACGGAACTCCTCTCACACACTAGGGCTCATGCCTGCTTCTGACAGTCTCCAGAAGTGTCGGTATTTCCCCACTCCTGTCCTGGGAGACATCCGTGCAGTGGGACTCACACCCACCCCTCTGGCCCCTAGGCCAGTATGTTGACATTCCCCCC